AGTCCCCGGAGCCTGCCGGAGCCCTGGGGTAGCAGCGGCAGGGCTCTGGTGGCTATTGAAAGGTTTCGGGGCTCCCGCTGCTTCTACTACCCCGGGCTCTTTAAATAGCCACTGGAGACCTGCCGCTGCTACCCCAGGGCTCCAGCAGCAGGGCTCCAGAGACGATTTAAAGGGCCCTGGAGGGTAGTGGCAGCCGAAGCCTCGGGCCTTGCAGCTGGAGCCCCAGGGCTCCATCGGCAATTTAAAGGTTCTGGTGCTCCACTGCGGTAGCAGCAGTTAGAGCCCCGGGCCCTTTAAATCGCTCCCTTTAAATCGCCCCCGAATCCCAGGGCTCCCAGACACCTCTGCAGCTGGGAACTCAGGGAGTGATTTAAAGGGCTTGGGGCTCCCAGCTGCTGCTACCACAGCCCTAGCCCCGGGCCCTTTAAATCCTGATTTAAAGGGCCTGGGGATTTAAAGGCCCCGCCTCTTCCGGTGGAGGCCATGCCCCTCCTCAGGACTCCGGAGTACCGGCAAGTCCTTTAAGTTACTTTCGCCCCTGCATGTAAAAGATACACTATGGCATCAGACAGAGCAGACCACCTGTCACAAGACAGCTACCTGGGCAGAGTTGGGAGACAGAGATTAATCAGCAGTGCTAACCAGCTGGTCCAATAACTTGAGAACTGTTTGACCAGCTGTAGTATACAGCAGAGCCTATGAAAAATTATAATGATATTTGTTACACCATATAGAGCCTTCCATCTCAGGAACTCAAAATGCTTTCTCACCGTTAATAAATTAAACCATACGTCTGTGACACAGGGATTCGCATCTCCATTTTACAGATAAGGAGACTGACACACAAAGAAAGTAAGCAATTTGCCCTAAGTTTCAAAGGAATACTGTGGCAGAGCTAAGAGTAGAATCCAGATTGAATTCAGTATTGTGCCTTAGCCACAAGACTATCTTTCCTAGTTTATTGTGGGAAAGGAATAGAAGAAGAGGAACTAGACAGGAGAGGAAATGGATAGGGTGTGAAACTCATGGAACAAAAAATAGATTTGGGGGCACAGAGCAAGAAGGAGGAATTTAAGAAAGAGGAAGAATAAGAACTTGGTGAGCTTTGGGAATCATGTAGGAGAAGGCAATTGGGGAGGAAGGAAAAGAAAGATGAAGACTAGTAAGACTGGAAGAAAGGCAAAGCAAAGGCCAGAAAGAGTGTGCAAGAAGGACAGAGAGGGAAAGAAAGGTATGGAATGAGTAGGGAAGGGTGATAAAAAGCATAATGGAGAGCAGATAGGCCAACTGGGAAGGAAAAAAAAGGAGGGGAGAATACTCAGTATTCCAGGCAAAAGAAGAACTGGAATACTTGGCAATATAACAGTTTGTGATTCCATCTTGGTGTGGGTGTGGCTTGCCCTAAAGAATGTGGATCAGTAGGAAGAATATGGACGGAGATTAATTCATTTTTTGCCCAACAGTAAAGCTGCCCACTCACTGAGACAATGCAACACAAATTGTGCAAGCTGTGAAAGTTATCTTGGCTTGCATCTGAGAATGAAACACTTGAAAATCAAAGGGCACAATGCAAGCTATATCTGATGACTTCTCTATGTTACACGTGATGTAGGTCTCAGTGTGTCTTATGCTAATTCTATGGAAAACACCCACTGAAGTTTCTTCCAAAGGCAAGGTTCACAGTCTTGGGAGCAGTTTGACTAAGTGCCTGAATGTCACATCATATTAAGATCACATTTCTGCCTCATTAATGTTTAAAAAAGGTTTCACAAGTTCCCATATAATTACAGGTCCATTAATCACAAAAAATGTTTTTTGTTCTGCCTAGCATTAAAAAGCTTCTATATTTTGATCAGGCTATATTAAAAAAAATACAATGCCAGTGTTTGGATAATGCTGTTCTGTGACCTTGCTGTACAAAGCCTATGGCAGTTCCCGTATACAAATGATAAAGCCAGATAAGGGCCTGCCTATCCATTTTTACCACACTGTAACTCAAATTCCAATATCACCTCTTTTTTCTTTCATTTTCAAGCAGTTATTGAAATACCCCAGAATCTGGGAACCCCCCTTTTTGGCAAGCTGTCCTTGTTTCCAACACTTAGACAATGGGCCTGATTCTGCACTCTGCTACAGCAGTTTTTGTAGGTAGAACTCCATTGACTTCCATGGGGTTATACTGAACCCAATTCTGAGCAAACTAGGCTGGCTTTTTTTGCACAGATGTTTTTGCACAGACACCAGGTGAACCTGGCTGTTTTGACTGATTTTCACTTTGAATTTCAGGGGTTCAGGCCCAACTGAATTGAAATGGAGAAAATATAGTCATATGAGCCCCTTGAGCCAAAACTGTCAAATTTCACACAAATGTGGCATCAAGAACCGTGTCACACTGTCTTCTTGACACAAACCTGCCTGATGCAGCAAAAAGGCCACGGGGGGGAAATTGATAATATGTATACATTATATCTCCATAATAATAAAGAATGTAGAACTAGTGAAGGAAGGAAGAGACCTGGGTGAAGGAGTAAAGGAGAACTGTCGGGGAGGAGGATAAAATTGGCGAAGATCTGTTGGTGGAAAGAGGCAGGTTTGGGGAAGGGTGTTTGTAGGGGGTCCAGTTCTGTTGGTGGAAAAAAATGCTATTAGTATGTTCTTCTTATAACCTGTGTCATGGCTATCGAGAGCTCCTTTTTATTTATATTTTTTTTTACAAAGCCAAACAACCAAGCATTTCAAACTACTGGTAGGCTAAAGGGAGATTAAGAAGGGTTTAGGCAACACTCAGAACAGGAAGCAAAGGAGAAAGTGAAAAAAAATGAATACACTCATGCATGCACACTGCCTGCAAAGTAGCAAGGAAAAAGGTAGGGCTTGTACTAAAATTAGTGGGGGAAACTGAGGTCCACAGGAGAGAGGGTAAAAGAACATGCATGAAGAGAGGGGAGCAAGGCAGAAAATGTTATGGTCCTTGCTCAGCGGTGGTTGGGAGGGGAGCGTCACCTAGTGGTCAGGAATTAGGCCCATGACTCGCAGAGGCAGTGGTTGGTAGGGGAACCCAGTTCCACCCACTCTACCGGGCCCTAACTTAAGGCCCTTTGAGGGGTGCTTAATGCTGCCCTCTCTGGGCCACTTATTACCACCTCCCTGCGATTGTCCCAAGGCTGCCACCTGGGTTTAGGAAGTGTGAAGGGTGTCTGCTCACCGCAAGGCACCTTTCAGTGTCTGCACATCATGTGGGAGCTTCCTTTCTCTTAGGGTGGCAACTGCCTCCTCCTGTAGTGTGGTCCATCTTCCTGGGCCAGATTTGTCATAAGGCTTTCCCCTGCTGGGAAAGTCCAAACAAAACAAAGGGAATTAACACACCAAGAGTTCATATGAGAGGGAGAGAGGGATGCTTCCTTCTCAGGCCCTTCTCTGAAGCAGAACCTCCCATCCCTCAGGGAGGGATCTTTGGGCAGGTTTTAGGGAAAGATTCTGCTTTCCCTTAGCTCTTCTCTGCTGGAGCTGCAGGTTGCTGGTCTGCTCTCTTCACTGGTCTGCTCCCAAGTGAGCTGTTCTCCTGCCTTTTAACACATTCCCCAGTTGGTGTATTTCTACAGGTGTACTAGGGCAGGGTTGGCTGAGCCCAGAGTAGTTCCATAAACCCTTGTTGTCCAGTGTGGGGTTTACATATGGTAATTACACAGGGTAATATAGACATCAAGCACATGTGTAATTATATATGACAAGATAATGCAGGATAGACTGTTTTAAAGTGTGAGTCTATTCTGAAAAGTGACAGTAAACGTATTATTGTGCGATCCCATGTTTATTATATTTCCATGACTCCCTATCAAATTTGAGGAGCTAAGTGAATTTTTTGCATTAGTCTTCACTGAAAAGTATGTGAGGGAGATTCTCAAATCTAAGCCATTCTTTTTAGGGGAGAAAGCTGAAGAACTGTTCCAGATTGAGGTGTGAGTAGAGAAGGTTTTGGAACATATTGATAAATTAAACAGTAAGAAGTCACCAGGACCAGAGAGTATTCACCCAAGAGTTCTGAAGGAATTCAAAATATGAAATTGCAGAACTACTAATCGTACTATGCAACCTATCACTTAAATTAGTTTCTGTACAAGATAACTGAAGGATAGCTAATGTGATACCAATTTTTAAGAGACGCTCCAGAGGTGGTCTTGGCAATTACTGTCTAGTAAGCCTAACTTCAGTACCAGGCAAATTGGTTGAAATTGTAGTAAAGAATAGAATTTTCAGACACATAGATGAACATGATTTGTTGGGGAAGAGTGAACACAGCTTTTGTAAAGAGAAATCATGTATTAGAATTCTTTGAAGGGGTCAACAAACATGTGGACCAGGGTGATCCAGTGGATTATAGTGTACTTGGACTTTCAGAAAGCCTTTGGCAAGGTCCCCACCAAAGGCCCTTAAGCAAAGTCATGGATCAGTAACTGGTTAAAACACAGGACACAAAGAGTAGAAATAAATAGTTTTCAGAATGGAGAAAGGTAAATAGAGATGTTCTCCAGGGAACTGTATTAGGACCAATACTGTTTAACATATTCATAAATGATCTGGAAAAAGAGGTAAACAGTGAGGTGGCAAAGTTTACAGATGATACAAAATTACTCAAGATAGTTAAATCCAAAGCAAACTGCGAAGAGTTACAAGGGGATCTCACAAAACTGGATGATTGGGCAATAAAATTGCTGATGAAATTCAATGTTGCAAAGTGATACATACCAGAAAACATAATCCCAACTATATATATAAAAATATAGGGTCTAAAATTAGCTGTTACCACTCAAGAAAGATCTTGGAGTCATCGTGGATAGTTCTCTGAAAACATGCACTCAATGTGCAGCAGCAGTCATAAAAGCGAACAGAATGTTAGGAACCACTAGGAAAGGGATAGATAATAACAGACAATATCATAATGCTGCTATATAAATCCATGGTACACCTTGAATACTGCATGCAGTTCTGATTGCCCCATCTCAAAAGAAATATATTAGAAATGGAAAAGGTACAGAGAAGGGAAACAAAATTGATTAAGGGTACAGAACAGCTTCCATATGAAGAGAGATTGAAAAAAAATGGGACTTTTCAGCTTGGAAAAGAGATGACTAAGGGGAGATATGATAGACTCTATAAAATCATGGATGTTATTGAGAAAGTAAATAAGGAAATGTTATTTATCCTTTCACACAACACAAAAACCAGGGGTCACCAAAGGAAATTAGCAGGTAGCAGATTTAAAACAAACAAAAAGAAGTATCTTTTCACACTATGCACAGTCAGCCTGTGGAACTCATTACCAGGGGATGTTGTGAATGCCAAAACTATAGCTGGGCTCAAAAAAGAACAAGATAAGTTCATGGAGGATAGGTCCAGCGATGGCTATTAGCCAAGATGGTCAGGGATGCAACTCCATGCTCTAAGTGTCCTTAAGCCTTTGACTGCAAGATGCTGGCACTGGGCATCAGGGGATGGATCACTTGATAATTGCCTTGTTCTGTTAATTACGTTTGAAGCATCTGGCATTGTCAGAAGAGAGGATATTGGGCTAAGTGGACCACTGGTATGGCCCAGTATGGCTGTTCTTATGTTCTTAGGAGTTTTCACATAAAAAGTAGTTTTTTTTTCTAATTGCTAACCCTGAAGATTCAATCTGTGCTATTTTTGTCTCAACCATCACTACTACTAATAAAGATTCTTCAAGCTAAGTCTCATCTGTCCTCCTCCATTGGTGGAAATCTTGCTTTCAGTCCCACTCGACTGAATACCACAAACCAGAGCAAGTTTGTTGAGGGAAGTGATACCATGTTGACTGTCACTTTTTAGGGTTTCACTTAAGTTAAAACATTTTAGAAATGTGTTTAGCTTTGGGCTGGGATTTCTCCTACAAATTGTTTTCAGTCCAGTGATCACACCAGTCTGCTTCTTCACAGCATAAATAATATTTTATTATAGCTCCTGAAGCGTTTCAAAGCCAATATATACTTGAAGGCCTGGGCAGACTAGAAACATTAAACTGTGAGTTAATGCAAATCCTTGAGCTCTGACTTCCCTTTACAGACCATATAAAAAGGTTTATAACCAATAGCATTAAATAAATGGAAGCGTATTGATCACCCAAATCTGAATATATACATATGAAGAATCATTTTTCACTTTGGTTCGGTATTTTTCCTCAGGGTTGCAACATCGTAAAATCTGCAACAACAACTGGGGCTGTGATATGTGAACATGAGTTGTGATCACTACTCAAAAGGCAAGAGAAAGTAAGCAGAGTAAGCAAAAGAACATTCCCAACAGACAAACTTATCAACGAGGCAGGAATGTGGGTTGTGCCATATAGAATTTTATTCTGGTCATTTATATGCACGGAGGGTTGGTTGACTGGAAACAAAAATGCTCTTGGTCTGTTTCTGATGTTGATATGTTACTCAGCCTAAATAAAACTTTTCTTTGAATCAGGTTAATAAAAAGAGAAGCCCAGTACAAAGTGGATAGCGGCACTGAAATGAGGTCTAATTTTCCTCTAATCAGATATTGGTAGGAACAAAGATAAATGCCTTCTGTCTTTAACATGCCTTTATTTGCAGTTCCCAAGATTAGCCTTTAAGCAACCAATCAAATAGCCCTCCAACACCCTAACTCAAGGGGGGGGGGGGGAATAGTAATCCTTCTGAATAAGAAGAAATCAGCATTCTTAAGTACGCAGGGTGTAATAAAAATTTCCATTTGGTTTGCTGCATTGTTTCCAGTTTTCCATAGAACTTACCCACCCTTCTCCCATTGCTATGGAGATGAAGATAGTGTCTAGACTCAATTGGCTAGAACTACAGCTGGTTTAAAGTGTCATAGCCGCATTGACTTCAATGGAATCACACTGACTTGCAGCAGTTGAGGTTCTTACCCTATATATTTAGAAGCAAATTAACTGAATATTTCAAATCTAAATGCTTCTTACATTGCTTTAGATTAGACAACTTACTATTTTCTAAGTGAAATAAAAAAAATTGATTATTGTCATTACATTTGCCTGGCACACCAGAGCCCAGTGCAGCCCAACATGGCACACTATGAAACAAATTCCCTCAGAACCTGGTTTGCAGCAGAAAAAACTCCCAGAGCCATGACAATGAAAGGAGCAAGGCAGGCATTTCCAGAGCTTCTCTTCACCAGTCACCTATCCTGTGCCAAGGACTAGTGGCAGGGCAAGCCATTAGTCCCAGCCATTCCAGCCAGCACCTCAGAGAATACAGCCCTCCACACCACTCTCTGTACTGGAGGTAATGGAGAACACCACCATTGTTTCTCCTCTATGTCTGGCCAGTTTAGGAAATAACAGGAGGTTCCCACAAGATGCAAGTTAACCTATTTCTGCTTCAAGTTGGAATAAGCTGGGTGCCTATAACATGGATTTTCTGATGGTTTAGGATATCTATATCAGTACAGCGTTACAAGAGAGTGGAACAGACTTACTTCACTCCTAACCGTGTCCAGTGAAAACAATGTCATTGAAACTAGAGATCAGTTCAGCAGATTATTACATTCCCAAACAAGGGGAGCTGCAATTCAAATAAAAGTCTAAAAACTTTCCAACTATCAGAGTGTTTAGACGCAGTGTTCCAATTCAGCTCATTAAGGAGAGGATGCAGTGTTCCAATTCAGAGAGTTTGCAGCTCAAATCTAATTCCAATCAAGATCTGGGGGTTTGGTTGGGGCCCATTCAAACCAAGCCAAAATCTTGTTTAAATGTAAAAAGTTTAAAGTTTTCACAAGCCTTTCTTGATTCTGACTAAGGCTGGAAGAGCACATGTCAAAATACCAAGAAGAAAGCTTTTCTTGGGTAACTTCCACATCCACCTGTAGCAGGATGAACTAGAGATCCAAAGAGCCTGTTTTCATGAGTTTTACAGCATGATTTTGCAGACTCACTTTCATCTGAACCTTTTCCAGTTATGCATTACTCCACCATACTGGGGAGTGTTAAATTAACTGATTAAAGGGTAGTCCATTTGATATGTTCTAAAAGTCAATAAGGTGGTTGAAAGTTAATTTGGGCATTACTGTATACCAAGCAGTCCATTTTTAAAAAAAATCATGTTTCCATTTCTTCATAAATTTGTATTTATTTATTTTAATTCATTTCTTATCAATAAAACATACTGAATGCCCAGGAAGCTTTCAATTCCCAAAACATACAATCTTAGCAGAAAGCAGAATTTTCACTTTCAGCTTCCTCGTGGGGCAGTATATTTTGCTCCTATTGACAGAAGTAAATGCTTCATGCAGAAAATAATTAAATTCTTTTCTTTAAAAAAAAAAATATATATAGCACCACTTTTCTCTTGTTCCTTTTCAGAGGACATGCATTCTTACAGATCAAAGTTTTAACCCTTAGGATACTGGCATTTTCCAGACTGCCAGCCAAACAAATGCTTAAGGCATACATCTACAGTCTTCAGTGGTTTTAAACCACACAAATTTATCCACCTGTGTCTTTTAATGTTTTTAAATGGGTTTTGGTGCCTAAGCAGAGAGAAGACATATGTGTGACTATGCAGAGGCCAGGAGAATAGGGCTGCGTCTGAGGTAAGTAGAGTGTTTTATTTCATATTCACTTTTCTGTTGGTTGCTATTAATTTTTAACACTGACCTGGCATTTCCCAGGCAATATAAAGGAGGGAACTGTTGCTTCTTTCAAGTTCCCCACTTCTATTGTAACAATGAAGGGCCAATCCCTGGATCTCTCACAGGCAAGCCAGCCATCACCAGCAAAAGCCATTAAACCCACAATTAACAAGAGTATCAAAAGGTGCTGAGCACTCACAGCTTTTACTGAAGTCCGTGAAAGCTTCAGGAACTCAGCAGCTTTGAAAAACAGTCTGTATGGGCCCAGTTCTATGAAAGCTGTCTCATTGAGGGTGGAATTGAGCCCTAAAGCACACATAATACTACAGTACATGGTAGAAACCATTCTAAGTGTCATAGTTTTGCCGTTTCCCTCTGGAACCAAGAACAATTAAAACACTTTTGGCTGAGCTTGTGAGTTTGTTCAAATAAAAACACAAATATCAAAGTGAAACTTATGGGGAGTGACACCCTCTGAACTAAACAGCCCCAGGAACTGAAACTCCCGAGCTTTGCAAGGCAGTAGCCAAAATGGGGGCTGAGAGCCAGAGCAAGTTTAGTGGTGGTGGCAATACTTTGCCCCTTTCTCTCTCTGGTCACTGGCAAACAGAAAGCAGCAAGATGTGATCATCCAGAAAATCATAAAAAGGGAGCAGATGCTCATGCTTGGAGAAGAGCTTTTTATGTAGCTAACATCATCGTGCTAATGCACATACTTTTTCATAATTCTGTGATTTAATTGTTGCCCTAAGCCTCACTCAGCATTTCTTAAAAATGAAATTAGATGGCCTGGAAATCTTCTGCATAATGTAGGGGCTAAATTATCAGATCTTCTGATAGTATCACATGTCCCTTTTGACTCTGCCACCAGTTCAGATAGTGAAAGAATGCAATCAGAGTCACTGTTTCCATCTTTAAATGCATATGATAGTGCTAAACTTTTTATTTCATAATGACATTTCGCACAGAGATTCCAATTTCATTTCAAATAATTGTATGCTCTTTTGTACCAGTGGATTACAACCTCCAAGGCCTCTTCTAGTTTCCTGAATACGTGAGCTGGAGTAGCACCATGGCCTGTCTGAGAAGGTCCAAGTGCAATTAAGCCATTTAGAGAATACCAGCCTGGAGAACTCTGCCCATGCAGTAATCGTAATTGTATGAAAAGAGTCAGGAGCTACGAAGAATCTGCATGGCACTCTTTAAAGAAGCACTTCATCCCTCCATGAGCTATGAATGTTGTCATGTTCTGTGCTTGAGGGTTGTGAGAGATTTGGAGGTATTCCTGTCTGAAGCCCAATAAAAACCTGAGACATGGCTCCTGCAGGCCAGTGTGCCAACTCACCAAATAAGGAAGGGGGTGGGGGGAGTCACCATTACAGGTTTTTTCATCTCCTTTTCTTCATGGCTTGCTTTATATTCACAAACTAAACAAAATCCCCTCAAACAAGCACTTCTATCTCAGACAGTGGGAGGGGAGAGAATGCACCTTTCCCTGCTTGTAGCTCCCTTTGCATCAGTTTCCCCATTCGTTTTATAACTCCCCTCAGATCATCTAGTTGATGGGCTGGAACCTGGTAACCTTTTATAGACGAGGCTGCATTCACACCTTGTCACAGGCAGGGCCGGCTCCAGCATTTCTGCCGCCCCAAAGCAAAAAAAAAAAAAAAAGCCGCGATTGCAATCACGACTGGCGGCGGCAATTGGGGGGGGAGGGGAAGCCACGATCGGCAGCGGCCGTTCGGCGGCAGGTCCTTCGCTCCTAGAGGGAGTGAGGGACCTGCCGTCCCCGAATTGCCACAGGTGCCACCGCTCTCTCTTGGCCGCCCCAAGCACCTGCTTGTTAAGCTGGTGCCTGGAGCCAGCCCTGGTCACAGGTACTGGCTAGTACTGGGGTCTACAACGTTCGGCACGCGGCTCGCCAGGGTAAAGCACCCTGGCGGGCCGGGCCAGTTTTATTTACCTGCTGATGCAGCCAGTGGGGGCCACGATCGGCCGAACCTGCCGCGTCAGCAGGTAAATAAAACTGGCCCAGCCTGCCAGGGTGCTTACCCTGGTGAGCCGCGTGCCGAACGTTGCCGACCCCTGGGCTAGTAGAAGATCTATCCAGGTGCATCTAAAGATATACACTTATTACTGTTTTATAAGAAGAGCTCCTGCAGCTGGCTGCAGACACTCACATCTTGTGTATTTAATTACCAACCACACTAAGGTTCCCAAGCTACAACATTGTACTGGATGTTCTATATCTTATAAGTCTCTGTTAATATGCAATAACATTGAGATTAAAAATATTTTTAGGAACAAATTCCCATTATAAGTTTCTATTTAACTTTATTCATCTGCCCCATTTCATCCCCATTCCAGTGGTTTAGTGACTAGAATTAAGAAACTTTAGGTATTTACACCAAATTTAACTGGATTCTTATGATGCCCATGGAATCAGATCAACTGCAAAGAACTTCCCCCGCCCCTTTGAACATTGTCATTACATACAAATGATTAGCAATGGGACGCATAGCATATGTCAAAGGGACATAAATCAATTTGCCTGGCCACATGTCCAAGGGGCAAAATAGAAATTGCACCTCATTTATTCTCCTTTGTATGTGGAACTGATTGAGGCTGTGAATCACACATAGTGAGCAGAGCTGGATGATGAAGGCATAAAATCTCTGTCTTCCATGTCGAAATCATAAGAGAGAGTGTGCATTAAATAAATAATCAAAAAGGTACAAACTACTGCAGCCTTGTGTATTGTTTGGCAGCAACAAAATATGATAACAAAGGTAGTCACATTTCAGAGTCAGAAGACTGTAAATATGATGCCCTGGCATGGAAGTAAATGGTGT